CTTTTTTCTGTGGAAGTTATGTGGATAATTTGCAACTTGTTCTGCATGAATATTGTCCTTGCTCAAATTAGAGAGTGAATGTAACTAAATTTAGCAAACATGCTTTTCGATTCTTTTTTTTTTTTTTTGGTGGTTCTGAGAGGTATTCTCTTACTCAACCTTTTAGAGTTCTTATTGTTGATCGAATGGGAAATATCTAGCAACATGAGTTGATGCTTAAAAAAAAAAATCAATTATGTATCAAGCTCCCATCAATGTTGTCAGAAGTAAAATATATTTTTAATTTGAAAAAGCACATTGTTACCTCATGCCTTGAGACTCACTCTTATAAAATACTCCTTTGGTTTTATTTATAGGACAGAGAGAGAAGATTTTTTTTAGTTCTATTTATAAGTTACTTCATTAAATTTTTACCGTGAATGTATCATATTGTCTTTCATTTATAGTGTAGATAGTTATTTTTTTTGAAAGAAGTGTATATTACATGGGGGTAAAGTTGGAAAGTTTTTATATTTTAATGAAGAGTTAATGCAGTTTAAGGCTTTTCTTAGTCTGTATGAAATATATTGAAAGTGTCTTATAAATAGAACCACAGGAGTATGACTTAATTCCTTGCCCGTTATTTATCAAATGCCATCTTTTAACCTCATAAAAGTAATTAACCTTTTTAAATTCTTCTTACATGGATTTCTTTGCGGTTCCTCTAGTGATCGAAAGAAAATTTACTTTTTAACCGAGAATGTCTTATATACCCTTGCAATAAAAGGTGGGGGACTTTGGTTACCAATTAATCAAATTAATCTATCTCTTTTAGTTAATCATATTTGGAGGGTAATGGGTGCTCTGAAAAATTCTCTTCTTCTTGCTACTATGGAGGTCGAGTGAATTGATATGAATTCAAATTCTTCGTCAAGATTGCTGTAAATAATGTGTGTCAATGTATTAAAAGAAGAATCCCACATTACTTGGAACTGTGGGATCTAAGTTATAAGTAATTTTGGGCTATTAAATTAAGCAAGATGAAAAGTGAGCTTGCATACATAATGAGGCACTGGCTGGAGGCAGCCTCTTCAATATTCGAAGGTTTTATTCTTCTTAACTAGTCATGCATAGCACTAAAGAGGAATTGAAAGATTCACCGAATTTTTGGAACATTTAGGTATTGTTGCCAACAAACGTTCCCTGTAAATGCCTCTTGGTTTTGGAAGAAAAATTGTTCTATGTCAGATTTGATTGTTCTTAATCCTAGGTGAGTGGATATTAAGCTCAAATATTCATGTAAGCCATAAATTATGGGGGCCTACAAGATCTAATAGCCCTCTTGTTATTTATCAGACATTAACGATGGACAATCTTACTAAAAAGGAAGCAATAACTGATGTACGATCAAATGGAACGCTCAACTCATCATAAGAAGACTATATGACTCTCGTATTTCCAGACAAATCGTTAACAGTCCTTTATCTATTCAGGGTGCAAACGATACATGGGGTGAAAAAAATTTTAAGGTAACCTTGGTAAAGATAGTTTCAACATTTTAATTGAGCTTATTGCTGCTCATCAACCCAAATAAATATATGGAAAATCCAACTTCCATATAAATATTTACTATTTATATGGAAATTCCTGAAAGCTTCTCTACCAATAGTGGAAATTCTTAAAAGCTCATCATCTTTGGTCTTGTTTGCAATCACAATCATAAATCCTTAAAAACATATCTCATGTAAATTGTGACAAAACTTTTCTCATATCTTGATTTCATAAATCATGATTAAAAAAACTATTTATAAGTCATTTCAATTGGATTCTTAGTGTATCATCTTTATGCTTCTTTGGATGTCGAGGATGAAGAAACTTTGGAGCATTCGCCTTTTCTTTGTCCAGTCCTGTGGTTTAAGGCTTTTGAAACTAGAACAGATCTAATTCACCGATTGGGCATTGGCACTTCGGTGATAAATTTGACTTCTTCTCTTATAGAGGAAAGAAACTCCCCTCCTATGAAACAAAACATTATTCTTCTAAATTTGATTTGGAAAAGAAGCATAGAAATCAAAGTGTTCATTCAAAATTTACTTTAACTCGTCATTCCATGATGATGGAATTCATGGGTATCTTGTTATATAAGCTCTGCAGCCTCCGCTTGTAAGCTGTTAAATCCAATTCCTAGTAGTTATCCTTTTACTTTGGAAAATGTCAGCTTCCCTTCTAATGAGTTCCTGCTTGGATGATGAAATATTTGGATAAGGGAAGTTAAGGGGAGGAAAACTTCTTCATATTTCATCAATGTTAGTTATTTTGGGAATTTAATTCAAAATCTTGTCTAGGTTAAAAATCTGACTTTCTCTTCAAAAAAAAAAAAAGTTTATCTCCTACATCAACGAATGATTTTCATTTGAATAATAAATTATAGCCCTTCAAGAAACTTATCAAGAGATTTGGTGAAAATTATAAGTTTCGTGAAAATTCCATGTTCGTTGGCAAAGGAAAAAACACAGAAAAATCTCATGCTACACCAAACTATATATTTCTTATCCATTCTAATGTCATTGCAAAAGATCTATTGGCATTGACCATTTGTCCCCCCTTGTTTTCGTTTATGTATTTCTGGCAATGTTTCACTTTTAGTACTTTTGGTTCATTAGTCTAACCAACCGACTTTGTAAATGAAAATACTTTTCCGATCTTTAACATAAAATCTACTTTTTAAGTTAATTTTAGTCCTAAATATAAAACATATTTCTCATATTTATCAATTTTTTCTAAATACCCCATAAATACTCCCTTAACCATAATCAAGTAAGTAAGAGAGGGTGAATATTAAGAAAGATAGTTATGGTGTCTTAGAAAAAATATGTCATATTTTTTATAATTAACTAACTTACCTAACTTCTTTAATCCAATTAAATTAGTTAAATAGGTCTTATATTAAGGACTGAAGAAATAACATATTTATTCTATATATATATATATAATATTGAGAATCTAACGTTTATTCAATGTTATATTTTAAGTGTTTCGGAAAGACAGTTTCAGTAATAACAATTTTTTTCCTGTCAAGTTTAAAAAAATGTTGTTGGTATATTTTTTTTAATTAGTAAGAGTATTAGAGCAAAGGCAAAATTTTGTTTTTATCTTAGATTTTCATGCAATCAATATTGATACCATCAATTATCAGTTAATATCAATATAAACAAAAAATTTAAATGATAATATCATGATCATAAATATCTGATGTTGATATTAATTAAATTCATCGATATCAATTTTAATTTTTAAAATATACACAATCTATAACAAGGTCATCTGTATAAGTTGGCCAAAAGGAGGTCAATCGTATGTATCGTCACAAAGGACCCTACTTCAAATTTCGCTATCTATTAGTATCTATTTTTTTTCACCCCAATTTTTTTTGATACAATTTTTCACCCCAATTTAGACAATATATCTTTTGAAAAAAAAAAATTATAAAGATTACACGGATTGTCACAGAAAAGTTTTTGTTTTTAGCAATCTTGCAGTGAATTTTATTTAAAGAAATTTCAGAGTTAATCTTTCTGTCAGCCATATATTTTGCAATAATTTCTTTTTTGCCACCATATATTTTCCCACTAGTTTTTTCGCCACCACTTATTTACCAATAATTAATATTCATGAGTATATACCAATAAGATCATGATCGTCAATATCAATATAAAAAAAAATTTCCAAGAAAGTTTAAACAATGGTTTAATCATTTAATTTTAAATTACTTAAAAAGTTAAACATAAAGTTAAACTTTTTAATATGAATAATATTATGCCATATCATTCTATATATCATGATAAAACAATTTTTTTTGCTACTGCAGAATTTTAATTTTAATAATCCCGTGCATTATACAAGTATAATGTTAGCTAAGTATAGTAAATACGAATATGTTCTTAGTGATTAATGCCGCAAGGTGACAAGTATTAACAAATAATATTTTCGTCCTAAAAATATCTATATTTAAATTTAAATAATTGCTCGGACAATCAAATAATATTTAAGTGATAGAATCTAAATCTTTAGATTTAGAATCTCATTCATCCTTTATGTTGTATTATTTTTTGTTAATATTCACCTCACCAACCCATCAAGAATCTTATACTTTATCATCATGTGACTAATTTGATTAAAATTAAAATTAAAATTTAATCAAATATCCTTCCAATTTTCTATAAATACGCTAGCTCTTCTAGCATTTGGCCTACATTATTGCGTTTGATTATTCCATCATTGAACACAAGTTCTTTTCTCTTTGTTCCAGACATATTCTTCAAATTCGTAAGTGGTCATGTTTATTCATCATGCATCATTTATAATTATTATTTCATTCATATTAGCTTGATTACTCTTCTTAATGGCTCTTAAAATGCGTTTGGCTGATCTACTTTCAACTCTATATCATGCTTTGAATTATTGTTTGGAAAGTTTAAATCCAAACTCATAGCATAGAATGACTAACTAAGCGCTCTTTAAGTTTTGTGGTTTATTTTGAGCTATCTAAGAATTTTTATTGCGTTATATCAAGTTAATATTAGTTAAGTCAACAATGATGTTTTCTTTCTTTCTTTTTTTCCCGATTGAATGGAAGGAACTTTGAAGGGATAGGCTTTAATAATCCTTCCAATTTAGAAGAGAGGGTAGACGATTTTTTTTTCTTTTTGTCTTTTTTTTCCTCCAACCGAACATGGTATTAGGATTTAGAACCCTTCAAAAGCAGTTTTTCAAATATGACTTTTTAAAAGTATGTGAAAAGAATTTTATCTCGATTTGTTTATATCAAGCATCTCTAAACAAGTATAGACCCTTAAAAATATGATGCGATTCCCAACTCTATCCATGTGAAAATTTTGCTGATGGATAATAAGCCAAGTAAACTAACAAATCTAGCTATTTTTTTAAGCCTTGAGACTACTTACCTAATTTTATTTGTTTGCTCCAAAGAATCAACATTAGTTAATTATTTATTTTTTTTAATGCAGGCAATGACGATGTTAAGGTTTTTGGTGCTTTCTCTTTGCTGTTTGGTTGTGGGAGGGGCAACAAAATCAGAATACCTAAACCCAGGATTGCCAATCCCACACAGAATCAACAAACTACTCTCAAGAATGACATTATCAGAGAAAATTGGGCAAATGGTGCAAATAGAGAGATCAGTGGCATCAGCCGAAGTGATGAAACAGTACAAAATTGGGAGTGTTTTAAGTGGCGGTGGAAGTGTTCCATCACAAAACGCAAGTCCCCAAGAATGGATCAAAATGGTGAATGAATTTCAAAAGGGAGCAATGTCAACAAGATTGAAGATTCCTATGCTTTATGGGATTGATGCTGTTCATGGACATAATAATGTTTATAATGCCACCATTTTCCCTCACAATATTGCTCTTGGAGCTACCAGGTATGTTTGTGTATTTTTATCATGATTTATTTCAATTTAATAGTTTTGATGAAGGTTGTAGAAATCGGACTGGTCTTTAAACCGGTCGGGTTAGTGAGATCAACCTAGTTATAATTAAAATAAATTATTTTTCTTATAATACTTAAAACGAAGAAACTGCCTGATGTATTTGTGTATGCATGATTTTAGGGTTTATGACTATTAATCATTTTGTTGATATTTCAATATCAACCAATATACCAACAAAGTTCCCTCATTTATTATTATTTTATTTGTAAAAAAAAAATCCCTTCTTCTCTTTTCTTTATATACCAACAAAGTTATTGCAGAGACCCTGATCTTGTGAGGAGGATTGGAGATGCCACTGCTCTGGAGGTTAGAGCCACAGGAGTCAACTACGCTTTCGCGCCATGCATTGCGGTATGCAAGTTCTATTTTATTATCATCAAACTAAACAATCTTCGCATTTTTCTGTGTTTTAATTTTGATTTCTTAGGATCTTGCATATGTCTTGTGAGTTTCAGAAAGCTTGATCACAAAAATTTCTTTTTGTTTCTTCCTTTCCACGTAAAAGGTTTGCAGAGATCCTCGATGGGGAAGGTGCTACGAAAGCTACGGCGAAGATCCCGAAATCGTGAAGAATATGACAGATATCATTCTGGGGCTTCAGGGGGAGATACCTCCTCGTTTTCCCCAGGCCGTTCCTCATGTCGATGGACCGTATGTGATACGATTTCTATGCTTTTTCTTATTTCTCGTACCTAAGTTGTTCAATTATCATCTAATAGGGTTACATTATTTTTGACACAAAAGTGAGTCTTTCACCTGACCTGAATAGGGATATAGATTCGAGGACTTAAAATATTGTGCCGGAGCATTGTTTACTAAGTATCACTCATCAATCATTGTTTAATATATCTGAATGTGATTAATGTGTTTCTCAAATGAAGCATATGGGCTAAAACATACTGTAAATTAAGTAAAATTTTATGAAACTTTATGGTGTTTCAGAGTCTAGTGCTACAGAGCCACATCTCTGTTTTGTCGTGGGTAGATTTGTTTTTTATTAGGGAATTAGGGTTTCTGTTTACCACTTCTCTTTTTGGTGCTTGAATGCTAGTCATCAACATCCTAAGAAGTCATTTACTTTACCTTTTTGTGTGTTTTAGCTATGTTGGATGTAGTCTGTGTGCCCTACTTTTGTATGAATGGGAAGATTTAGAAAAAATGTGTGTATATGTTTTTATATTTGCAAATTACTATATTCTTATCATTGATTTTTTGTTTTCATTTGCTTAACAGGAAGAAGGTTGCAGCTTGTGCAAAACATTTCGTAGGTGATGGTGGCACCTATCATGGAATCGATGAGGGCAATACAATGATAAATTGGGACACAATGCTGAGGATTCACATGCCTGGTTTTGTCGAAGCCATTCAAAAGGGTGTGTCCACAATCATGGCTTCCTACTCAAGCTGGAATGGACTGAAGATGCATGCTAATCATGATCTTATTACTAATTATCTCAAGAACACTCTCAATTTCAAGGTATTGTCATTTTCCTGACTGCTGACTCTTTAATAGGTAGAAGGATATACGCTGGTGTTTGCAATATCAATAATATCACTCAAGTATCCAAATACTAAGCTTTTGAGCTGATCAAAATAGGATTATTGTATTTGTTCTCTGTTGTCACTTCAAACGTTAAAGACTTGTATGAGAAAACATGATATAAATATGAATAAGACCAATCATGAGGCTTCACTTTAACACTTAAAAGCAAGCAGTCCTTGCAGGAATGAAGAATATTACTATCTTGCATTTGAATTTTTTTGGGGTAAATTTGCAGGGATTTGTCATATCTGATTGGGAAGCTCTTGACAGGATCACTGATCCTCCTCACGCAAATTACACTTACTCAGTTCTAGAAGCGGTTAATGCCGGAATCGACATGGTAAGTGTCCCTGAGAAGTAAGAACGTGGTCAGGAGATATATGCTTCCAAGTCTAACCTTCATCTCATTTTTCAGGTCATGGTTCCCTATAACTACACAGAATTCATCAACACTCTGACTTATCTTGTCAAGAACAAATACGTTCCCATGAGCCGCATTGATGATGCGGTTGGCAGAATATTGGGAGTAAAGTTTCATATGGGACTTTTTGAGAAACCAATGGCTGATAATAGTCTTGTCTCAGAGCTAGGAAAAAATGTTAGTTTCTGCATTTTTCCTAATTAATGAACTATTTTAGGTGTTCATTATCTGGTTCACCAATTAATACATAACAACAGGAGAAATTTTTTTGAACTATAAAACCTACACATTATGATTGTACATGAGAATCTGATAAGAACGCCTAAAATCTTATCTTTACTTGTGTTCTTCTTTGTAATACTTACTTTAAACTCTTATTTTACATTACATTAACAGGATCACAGAGAACTGGCAAGAGAAGCTGTGAGAAAGTCACTAGTGCTCTTGAAGAACGGGGAAGATGCAGATACTCCGGTCTTACCTCTTCCTAAAAAGGGAGCTAAGATTTTGGTTACAGGTAGTCACGCTAATAATTTGGGTTATCAATGTGGTGGCTGGACCATTTCCTGGCAGGGACAAGGCGGCAATAACATTACCAAGGGTATGTTCTTACTCTGATTCAATCTGGAAGATTTAATTGTACTTTTAGCCCCTCTAATTCAGTTTATTTGAGCTATTTTTTCCTTCCAGTTTAATAATCCAGAGCATTATAATCTCTCTAATTATGAAATAGAAGCAATTAAAAATAATAATTAGATAGAACCATGGCTGGATTTTGTTAACTCTGAGAAAGACAAAACTTTAGCTTCTGTTGAACACCCCCCCCCCAAAAAAAAAAAAAAAAAACCCATAAAACAGTTCTTGACGCATTGTTGATCTAGTTGGAATTTTGTGTTAAATGGCTCTGGATAATTTGGGAGGACAATGTCCCTTTAACTGGAAACTAGATAGATCAATTTGCGTTCTTGAAACCTAAATGAAGCATCATTTCTTGTCTGACAAATTTCGAACGTATATTGAACATCAATGAATTTTTGGTTTGAAGTATTGACATGATATAGTATAACATGATTTAATCCTGGTTTGTCAAACAGGGACCACTATTCTCCAGGGGATTATGAACACAGTTCACTCTAGCACTGAGATAGTCTTTAACGAGAGGGCAAATGCTGACTTTGTTAAGAAAAACAATTTTGATTATGCCATTCTTCTTGTTGGGGAGATGCCATATGCAGAGATTGCAGGGGACAGCAGAAACTTGACAATTGCAGGCAATGAAGGTGTAATCACTGACGTCTGCATCAACACTAAGTGTGTTGTGGTAGTAATTTCAGGGAGGCCAGTGGTGATGGAACCTTTTGTAAGGTTCGCAAATGCCATTGTTGCTGCTTGGCTTCCAGGAACTGAAGGCCAAGGAGTTGCTGATGTTCTGTTTGGTGATTATGGTTTTACTGGGAAACTGCCACAGACTTGGTTCAAAAGTCCTGATCAATTGCCCATGAACGTTGGTGATCCTCATTATGATCCTCTATTTCCATTTGGGTTTGGTCTTGAAACTCAACCAGTCCAAAGGTAGAATAGGTTTAGCATGCATACCCATTTTTTGCAGGACATATTTTTTCTTTTTTGTAGATTATTGGCAGTTAGTTTCCTTTTGTTTTGGTAGATGTTTGGTAGGCTTTTTCTTTCGGTAGGTTTAGAAATTAGATTTTGCAAAAACTTTCTTGCACAAGAGAGTTAGGGAATTTTAGGAATTGTTTAGAAAAAAAAACAGTGGTCTTTAAATTTTTTTTTTTTTTGGAAATTTCATATCTTTAATGACAAATTAATTATTGCTTCTCACAATTTACATCAATTTTTAATCGAGCCCGTATAATTCAAAAAGATATAAATTCGTCCCTGTATCGTATTTTGATTACCAAGTTGAATCTTATGTTTCCATCCGTTAGGAGATATCACCTGCAAGGTGATTGGGTAAGGGTGCTAGCTTATATATGGTAAGTTAGATACTCTTTCAATCTTTAATATAAGATCTAATTGTTAAGGTAATTTTAGTTCTAAATATAAGAATTTCATATTTATCAATTTTTTTTCTAAATTATTCTTATGGATACTCTCTCAACCATAATCAAATATGCGAGGAAGGAAGGATATTAAAAAAAAGATTATGGTTTGTTAAGAAGAACATATCATACTCCTCCAATCCTAAATATAGGATTCCTTTTGTAGTGTAATTTACACTACAAAAAAGGTCTTACATTTAGAATCGGAGAAGTATTTCTTATAATTAACTAACTTACCTAACTTTCTTAATCTAATTAAATTAGTTAAATAGATCTTATATTAAAGATCGGAGTAGTATAATGCTATTTTATTTATGGTGATATACTCTTTAACACTATCATACCCTGTAGGATGAAAATTAACTCTTGTAACAGAACATAAACTTTTCCTAAAACTATAAAGTATTCATATAAATTTTACTAGTTTATTTTTTTAAAATGAATGTGACATTAATGTTTGGGTAAGAGCATACTATTGTCGTCATCAATCGAAATCTATTAGTGATGATTTATCATTACTGATACATTCATTGCCTGGCCTCCAACTCTCGGGATATCTTACCCAATTCATACCCAATTCAATCTCAATCAATTAAAGCACCGAAGGCTGAAAAAATATATTAAACAATAAATTCACAGAGTTTACAAGTAGTACACTCAAATGGCTCTGTAAAATTCACACACCTGCATGTGCGCACACTTAAATGTGCAAGCAGCCTCTTCAAACATGTAATTACCTTCCTGAACCAATATGCAGTTAATTTTCTTGAGATACAATTAGCTTTCATAACGTAGAAGTGGTCTCCATAATTGTGGAATTACTAATATAATATGAACCAATATGCAATTGCTTTCTCCAAGGTGCTATTAGCTTTCATAATGCGCATGTCTCCTCAAAACCATATGCAACTAGCTTCTCCAAGACACAATTAGCTTTCATAATGTGCAAGCAGCCTTCCCAAATCTGCAATTACCTTCCCTAATTAATACCACCTCCGATCTTAATTATAAAACCTCGTTTGTATACTGCAAACAAGGTCTTATAATTAAAACTGGACGTAGTCTGCAATATGAACTAATATACAGTTACCTTTTCAAGATGCAATTAGCTTCCATAATATGCTGGTGGCCTCCCAAATATGAAATTACCTCGTCTAAATCAATATGTAATTAGCTTCCCCAAGATGCAATTATTAGCTTACATAATATGCATGTAATCTCCTAAAATATGCAATATGATCCAATATGTAATTATTTTCTGAAGATGCAATTAACTAAGTGACCTGCTCGAATATGCAATCACCTTTCATAGGGTAATTTGGTCTTTTTCCTATCACCCTCATAGACATTGAATGCATTTTCACAATGTTAGGTCCTGTTTTCTGAATAAATTTTCAATTGGAAACTCATGACCAATTTTCCCTTAAATGTACCGCACCAAACAACTTATATTCATCACGAAGTAGTATACTTTTTCCTAATAAAGTTTAACAGTCAGAATAACTTATTAGAAAAATTCTAAAAGTTATATGGGAATTATTTTTATGCTCAAGATCAAACCCAATGAGCCTTGGCTCAAATCGCATCACGCCACCTCGCTTATTGAGGAAATCAGCTTCTCTCCTCTACCCTTTCCCTCTTCCACCCGTTCATTTTAGATTATATTTTAGTTGTTCAAATTATACTAGGAGATCAACCCCCATGTGGCTGAGAGAATGCATGTGGGAGGCGTTTGAGTGTGGGAGTAATCTCTCCTATGAAGAGGAAAAGGATAGGCGCTAAAAAAAAAATCTCAAATAGACCATCCCAATTTTATTTTTTTGATTAAAACAAACCAAATATTTCTTAGATATTTTATATAATTATACGACATCTAATATAATTGTCTAACACTACAAGAAAGATCCAAGTGTCATCAAATCTAGTTGCTGGAAAAAAAAATATCAAATCTAATTAAAAACTTTTTAATATGATTTCTGGTTCTATTAACAAGGTTCAAAGTCTCTCTTATTCACTTCGGAAAAAAATAACAACGTCGTCTTTTCAGAGAACATCCAGTTTAAATCACTTGATTCAACTCAACCACCACTGGCATACTTTTCAAGTTTTGATTTTAACATTTAATTTAATATATCTACGTTTTCTTCCGTATCTGCATAACAATTAGAATTTCCCTTGTAATTCTTAATTGAAGCTCAATTATTATGTTTTTATTTTATTTTTATTATAGATACCGAGAGAAGCAACTTCTGGGTTATTGTTATTAAAAGTACACAGGCAGAAGGTTAAGAGAATGAACACAAATAAACCATAATAATCAAATAAATTATATCCGGCACCATTGAGAATTTAAGTAGGGCAAGGAGAAGTATTGTTGTACATAAAATGATTTCCTTCGTCAATATCAAACAGTGTTCAACGTTTTTCCCCCAAGACAGCTACAAGATGTATAATATATTGACATGTAAACAAATTGAGAAGCATATACAAAAATATATAGATAAGGAGAGATCAGTAACTACTGGGTTATTCTAAGACCTATGCAGAAGTCAGATCAGTCAATACATATCATACAAATGGAAGTGCCATCTCATGGATTTGAACTGGAATCTGCTATCTACTTCAAATCATGGGACCTTCAAGGGAATCATAAGCACCTAACAACAAAAAGAACATCAAATATATACAACACACACAAATTGTATTCATATATTCCATCGGATCCTTATCATAAGGCATCTCCAACCACCTTATTAAAACCAAAAGTAGTTAAGTTATTAAATTTGTTTGATAATGAAAACATCTACACTTACCCATATTCAAAACTATAAATGACATCTTGAGCGAAAAAAAAAGAAAATTGCATCCATCTTTGAATAGGGACAACCTTGGAAAAATATAATTAATGCCCCATTTGGTGATTTATAATAAGAACCATTTGTTTCTTCTAAAAGGTGCGGGACCGGAGTTATATATATAAATAAATATATATTTAGCATTATCGGTGTACCGTGCAAGTTTGATCCATTTAGTTGAATACCATTCACCACCCAAAGCAGCTGTCTAACATCAGTAAAGAGACATGAAAACTTTTGATGGTTCTCTAACCTCATTCAGCATTGTGAGTCTGGTCATGCTCAATAAACTCAAGCGCATCTTCCTTGGACACCAGATTAACACGGCTGACCCTGTTTTTATGTGTCACTGGTCAATGTGGTCGTAATAAATTGAGTGTTAGCAAGGTCAGCCAGACGTCGAATCATATCTGCACAAGTTAAGAAATCCAAACGGCACAGTAGGATGCAAGAACCCAAATGCTGGTGAAAATATAGCAGAAGGCCCTATTTGTCTCTAATGCAGTGATATAAATTCTTCAAATATCAGTGTCAGCCCATAACACAATGGATTTATCTCCAATCACCCTTCCATTTAATTTATAAGTTTACTAGTACACATAAACCCCAGCCTCCATGACTTCCATGAATCAACAAGAGCTTGTTTGGAAATTACCGTCACACCCTAACCAAAAAAAATTATTAGCAAGCAATAACACCCTTTAAGGTGATTCCAGAGAAGGGCCACTATACTGTAGGTTGAAGAAATGGAGAAAACTTAATAGATAAGGTACTTCTCTCCAACTATATTAAAACAAGTGAATTTTAAATTTAAAATTAAAAATAAGTCAACAGTGGTAACCCATGAACCATGAATCGTGTATAGTTAGGCTCACTTGTCAAAACTCTCCGCAACACACATAGGGCCCACCACTAGTTCGATTGGAAAACAATATCTAAAGCATAAAGAGTAGGTACCTAAGTATTTTCCAAAATAAATTGTTAATTAAATAAAATCCCAACCTCAAAGTTTTTATTAAACTATGGATCCCAAATAACAACTCAACCCAAACCTGAAACAGATAAAGAAAGGAGAGCCAAAGAAAATCACAACAAAATTGTTGGCATGGAGTGCGAACAAAGCACAAAACAACTAATATCTTTAACCAAATATAACAAACAAAAGGGAATAAATTGTGAACTCTGGACACAACGAGGAGCCTATGGATGCTTTCTGACCACGTTAAAGAACCACAAAATCCAAAAGCACAATGCAGTATGGCATCATATGCATTATATATATATATATATATATATATATATATATATGTCTAGATATAGATGCTTGAATATAACTTACAGAATTTGCAAAAAAGACAATGCAAAGCACTTATTTTATATTTGAAGTGAAGCTAGTAAACAGTTTTAAGAAAAGGATACTCCCAACTGCAGTTCGGTACTGTGGATCCAATGCTGCATCTATCTCATCAAAAAGATAAAAAGGAGCTGGATCACATCGCTGGATGGCAAAGATAAGCGTGAGGGCAACGACAGTTTTTTGACCCCCCGACAACTGCTTCATGGACTGAGTCTCTCCTTGTCCGGTGAAAGACACCTGTAATGCAAAAGATTGTCCATGGTTATCAGAAGAAATTTTTGGATTGATGCCTGACAAACACCAACTGACAACAGACATCATTACCCCACATGAAAAGGGGCAGGGGGATACAAACATGCATGCTTCACAATCATATAATGAATCAGGACATATCTGTATAGTTGGGTAATGATGTTTGCTTTGTCAATTGGTTACATATATCCCTTGGCTCGGTTTGCAAAGAAATGGATGTGACTCTGATGGA